AGCTTGTAATTTTTAGATCAGTCAGCCTCGATTATTATTTTTCTAAGCCTATCTCCTATTACTCTCCCACAAGCCCAGTGCCCACTTGATGTTCCTCAAATTTGTCAAACAGCATCTATTGGAATCTATTCCTGGATTTTCTAAACAATAACATAGCTCCTTCAGGTCTCTGCAAATATTACCTAACTATGGAAGATAGTATCATCTCCTACAACGTCACGTGGGTATGTCTCCTTCACCAATTAGAACAAACTTACTTAGAAAAAGGACTTGGTTTGATCTTGGCTGGAGTCTAGAAGGTATAAATTCCCCATGACATTAACCAAGTTTTATTTATTTTTAACCAATTTTTAAAAGGTGAATGGAGCATGGAAACGTAGATAATGAAAATGAAAGCAGTTGACAATTTGAGGTGCCTGGAAAAGGGAGACACTAGGGTGACCTCCTTAGAAGTTGACGTGTCACTGCTGTAATTCACCCTCACCTGCGCCAAACACTTTAGATATTGATCTCCATTACCTATTCCTAAGTTTACGGCAATGAAAAAGTCAGAGTAATGATTTTAGATACTATAAACACTCCTGAAACATCAGAAGCCAATTGAAAAAAGCAGGCTTGTGGTTTAAAGATTTAGAATGCTAGACAAAAGTATCTTAATGTGAATTTCCAATCTCGGACACTACAAGTCTCTGAAGGTAATGTTTTTAATCTCTTTTTCGCACTCATGCACAAGCAGTTCATTGAAGTATGCCTTAAGCAAACTATTTGTAATTTCAAAAGTTAAAATATATTTTCCTCACCAAGACAGAAAGTACCTTTAAAAATGATGAAAACCAGCTAGCATCGCCTTTCAGACTACATGGGAGGCCAACCGACTATACACAACTATAAGCAAGATTAATAGGGTATTAAAACAGTAGTGAAACAATGAGTATAATTTTCTTATTTAAAAAAGTTCATTAAAAATCCAATGTGTAATAGTCATTTCCTAAGGCTACATATTAAAGCATTAAGAGTTTTCACAAAGGAAAATAGTCCTGAAGGACAAAATAATTCAATGAAAATCTTTACTTTTTTAACAAATTTCAAGAGAAAGTGTGGATTATATCAATGTCTATACTTCTTTCCATTCCAAATTTAAAATAATAATCTGTTAAAATAGGTTATCTATGAAACTGATAATAAACATACTCCAAGTACCAAATCACAAAATTCTCTAACCAAAATGTGCCACTAAAAACACCGTTCTACTGAGCATATTGCTGACTCTTCACCTACAGGAAGTCTAGCTGTTAGTAAAGCTTGGATCATGTATCTTAGTTGGTCATTCTTTGCCTCCAGCTCTTGAGCTATCCTCCAGGAAGGTTATAAAGATGCATAAGATCTTCTCCGAGGCATTAGACATCACAAAAGAACAGGAACACAGCAAAGTGGGTTTTCAGGCTCAGGGCTCTGACTCAGGCTTAGTATACTGCAGTAAAGCCAGTGCCCAGAGTGGCTTTAGTGAAATTTTGCCTTGCAGCTCTACCATCTGCTCATGTGACTTGGAGTAGGCACAAAAAAATCTGTTTTTACAAAGGGAACTTAATGCATATGAAAACGGCAGCGGCAGTTTGGAGTGTTATTATTTACATAATTCACAAAGTGTTTAGCGTAGAGCAGGTACTTCGTAATGTTAATTTAGTGTCAATATTCCTTTTAAAAGTCAAAGAAAGTATCAGTGCTTATACTGAAGGATCTGAACAATAATTTCAAAGTATGTGGACTTTCCAAGTCTCATTTAAATTAAAAGATTCCCAGAGACTTCTTGCATTGAAACCAAACCTGGACTTGCACATATCTGATTTGGGCACATTTTCCCAGGGCACAGTGCTGGTTAAGGAACTTGTATCAAGGACTGATAACTGTATAAATACATGTGCACCTTTCTTAATGGACTAATTTGGAACCATTAATATATTGTTTAATGACATTCTGAAAGCTGAGAACAGTTTAATATGCCCACATTTTGGTATATTCACCTATAAGTTAGTGTTTTTCTAACAAATAGGGAAAACATCATCGTAGTAGTCCTTAAGACAAAAAGCACAAAAATAAACACTCAATTGAAGAGTTTAAGAGAAAAAAATGATCAAACAGGTATGAAGGAGATTATGTTTGGTACATGAAAAATTCTTTGTGATATTTTTATAATGCTTATTACTAAAGAAAGTTTATTTTTAAAGGGTTTTTCAAGGATCATTTTAATTTAGATAGTACAACTATCTAAAATATAAACAATCTTTTGGGGAGTCTGCAAAAGAATGTAACTTAAAAAGATAAGGATTGATCCAAAGTTTGGGCATCAGAGTCTCAAAATGGGGTAGGTTAAATGAAAGAAGGTAGGTGCAATATGACAACTCTCTAAATGTCAACAAGCAAAGACTTACAGAAACTTTCTCTCTTCCTATTCAGCTACTTTTACAAAGGGAACTTAGTTCAAAATTCAGTCCTGATACATAAGACACTTCTATAAAACCTAATTTGTAATCATATTAAGCTCAATCTGTGTTTCAACAGTTGTTAATTTAGTAACTTATTACAAAAGCCAACTATGGGCCATTTTGATAATTTTTGCTACCCAAGTTCAGATAATTGGTATTCATAAGTTTACTTAATGAAAAAATAAGCTCTTATCATTAATGTGAAAAACCGAGCTTTTCTATAATGAAAAATTATACTCCCATGGACTGCAGCAAGGATTGAAGGCCAGGGGCAGGAGAGGAAGGATGACATGCCCACTTTTACACCAGGGGCAAGATCAGGCATATTAGAACACTGATCACTGTAACAACAGCACCTACATTCCAAGTACATTATAGAATTTCATCAACCAGATTTTTAAAATTTCAAGTAGGGAAAAGTAATTCCAAAATATGATGTTCAAAATCAATTTAAATATTCAAAAAGCTCAGTCCCCATTCAGAAACAGATAACAGTATATTTATTAAATGAGTTAAGACAAATAAACTTTACAAATAGACAAATAATAAAAGGCTCAGTGGCTAAAATAGATGGTAAGCATCACTGAAAGAAATCAACACCATCACGGTATCTCAGTTGGCTTACATGTGTAAAAAGAAATTTTCAAAGAGCAATTTCACAGAAATGAAGCCAGTTTTTTTTTCTTATAAACAAATCACCATTTCTTGGTTCAAAACTGACATCTGTTATGAAATTTACCATATCACATATTTGTAAGATGACAAGAAGTAACTCATCTTCAAAGTGCAAGAAAGTCTATTTATAACCACAAAAAAGGCAATGAAGAGGAGAAAAGGATTTTTAAAAAATATACAAAGATTAAAAACATTTGGGATGCAAAATTAAACAATTTTTTGGTTAGAGGATAAAAGAGAAAAAGTGATTGAATTACAGATGCTGATTTCAGCTATACATACTATATAATGGGATCCAAGATCTTTAACAGCTTGCTTGCATTTTTTTCTACTTACATAATGCTCTGGGAATTTCTGGTAGAAATTACAGTGTCTCAAAGAGAGAAATACATACTAAGCATGTCTTGCTACTACTTCATGGATGTCATCAGACCCGTTTATGGATTAGAACTGGTGTAAAAAGCCATTGCCTTGAGTTGAAAAATGAATACTGTAAAAGCTCAATACAAATCCTCCAAAGCACATGCACTTCTAAATCTTTTGGTAATTACATTCATATTTAAGCATAACCAAAAAAAAAAGAAAGAAAGAAAGAAAGAAAGAAAGAAAGAAAGAAAGAAAGAAACCCTCCCCCCCCCCAAAAAAAAAAAAAACTGAAAACATTTCCCTATTTCCCTTTTCTCTATTCCCTATGCCTTGCAGGCTTCTCCAGTTGATAGGGTCAAATTTTAGAGTTGAAAGGGTTCTTCGATACTCTAGTCCACCACCCTCATTTAGGGTAAATGATTTTCCCAAGGTCATGCATCACATTAATGGCAAAACCAAGACTAGAAACCAGGTCTTGACTCCTAGTCCAGTATGCTTTCCAGCATATCATGCTACCTCTTTTTACAGTATGATTCACTATAAATACCTGATGAACAAATGTACAGTTACAAATGCTGACAGAACCAAGTGTTTCTAAGACTTGCAGAGGATTGCTGCAAAGGACTGATGGCGAGAAACAGATTTTCCCCCACCCACCAAAAATATCAAGCACCATCAACTAATGTTTCTTTGCTGGGTCAGCACTCTCAGATGTTGTAGTAGTCCTCGTAAACTTTAGGTCAGCCTGAGGAGTGTAGATCTGGTGAAATCTGGGCCCTAACCCATCATCAGTTCCTAAAAGGCAAAGACAGAGCAAAGAGGGGAGAAGGCAGACAAAAGAAACAAAGAGCTCAAGACTACAATTGGTTTAGAAATGGGTATTTCAGCAGATGGTTAATTATTACATCTAAATATATATTTTTAGTACCTTTTCGCCTTTCCATATAATCTCCTTTTACCTAATCTGTTATTTGGCCACTTGAGGATTAAAATAAATGGCAAAGCCAATGGTGGTCATATTTTTAAACTGAGGCTACTTAAACTAAATCTGTCAAATAGTAAAATTACAATAATTTTCTTAATCTGATTCTACTAGATTACCACCAAGGAACCGAAGCAGTACTTCATGGGGCTGTTACCATCTTGAAATTTATTCCAATTGTGATTAAAGAGAACAGACTGATGCACCATATATGCAGAATTGAGTAAAGAAGCTGAAATTTCTTTTAAAAAACATTGCTGTATATTTATTTAATAAAAGGGCATATTTATTTATGTTACAAACAAGTTTCAAAAACAAAAGGAAAACATGTATGCGTCTACTTATTAACCTTTTTCAAAATGCCAACAGCCCTCATGCTGTATGAAGGTTTCTAAGGATTTATTAGAAAAATCAATACAATTCACTCACAGTTCGCCAAGACATCACTGAACTAACATGTTTAGACAAAAACAAAAAGGACTAAGGTTCTCTTGTAGTTTGATAATTTGATTTAATTTGATTTGCCTGAAATAACAAAAGCATTTCAAGCATCTTTCATTATGTAGTTGATGTCCTGCATTAAACAATCTACTAAGTTCTGAACAAAAGGTTATTAGCAAGTTTTCAAAAATTTTAAAAATTAAACAGTTGTTTCAAAACCATTAATAGTAAATGTATTTAAGAAACTAATTAGGACAGATGCCATAACTTCATTAGAACACCACTGCTCATGTTTTTTTTTTTTGTTTTGTTTTGTTTTTATGTTTTTTTAAACAAAGCATTAGTGTTATCTATTTGGCTATTAGTATTAGCAATTTATCTACAATATTTAACAAGGTAAATTGTAGGCAAAAATTTAGTACAGTTTCAATAGAAACACCCCCTTTTTTTTTTCCTGAAAATACAGCAGTATTTGAAGGACTAATTTTTCTCTGCATCAGTTATAAGGAAGCTTCCCATCTATGAACAGGAACGAAAAAGTATCTACAAACCTTGTAAACAGATCTGTATCATTTATAAACATAAATAATCCAAATTATTAACAGCCAACAGCAGAAATCAAAGTATCAGTTCAATGATCCAGGGCTCTTTGCTGCCCAGCCTTCCTCCTCCCTCTCTCCCATCAAGGACTGAGATAAACTCAAGCTCTGCTATACACTGTCAGGACCACTCTTAGATACTACTGATGATCCACAGGTCAACTTACGCTGAGTTACTGTTATCTGTCAGTTCGTTTCTCCCACCCCCCAAAAAGCACCCTCAGTCTGGCAGAAAGCTTTGCTTTTTTTTTTTAAAAAAATAAATCTACATTCGTACAAGTGTGTCTTCTGTTGAAGTCCAAAGACAAGAATACTATCTTGTCCGTCACAATATGTGAAAAGACCCAGTTTCAATTTGTTTCTTTACAATGCAGCTAGTGTGTTAACATTCAGCTTACAATCAGAGTGATGTTTCCAAACTATGTAGTGGGCTTCCTGGGGATGAAGAGGTAGCAGACTTGTTCATTTCTATTGTAAGGTGAATCCCGCTGTCAACAGCATTGTTATTTTTGTTGGGAGAAGGTGGAGGACTGGAGTTACGTTTTGTAGGAGCATCATCTTCAGCATCAGTGTCATCAATAAGGGGGATATGAGGCTCTGAATCTTCTATCCTAAACTCAGGATGTGTCATAAAGTTGTGAATTGAACTTCTTGATTCCGGTTTTTCTAACCCTTCATATAAAGAACTACGAAATGCATTCACCACTCGAATCTGTAAACATCAAAAAACACAAAAAGATGTCAGTATGCTATTAGCTTATTTTAAAAATGGTTCATTTATGAGTTTGAATCCACAAACAGCTAGGTATGAGTGAATCATATTTGCATGTAATGCAGTGGAACTTGCAATACACTGTAAAAAAAAATGATATTTTAGTAGGACACTACAGAACAAGACCACATACTCAAGAATTAAGAGGTATAGATTTCAAAGTAATACTAAGAAAATCTCATTATCACTGGCTAAAAATTTGATAGCCATTTTATAGGAATTTTTCCCTAAGAAAATAAGTCAAACAAACAAACAAACAAACAAAAAAAAAAAACAAGAACTTAACCATACACAAGCTTAGGCTGATTTTTTTAAATAAAAGAAACGTAATTTTTGAAAACAATTCAATTAAGTTAAACAAAGTCAAGCACAAAGGGTTACTATTTATCATGCTAGGGATCAGGGTGTCACCGACTATGAAAAAGCCAAGCAAATATAAGCCAAATGCCACAATGAACTCACATCTACCCACCAGCCCCTTAATTAAAAAATAAAAATAAAGTCAGGACCCAAATAAATATCTATAAAATGCCATTAAACAGCTATAAATATTTGAGTATATGCCATTTATCTACAAAGTATTAATACTTTCCTCTACAACAGATTTAAAAGACAGTCAATTTACACACTATAGCTCCTGGGAAGAACACATGCGTGGGTGAGGGCACAGATGGACACCAAAAGCCTGGAGAGTCTTCTGTGAAAAATTCCCAAAAGTAACAAAATATTTTCTAGTACTTTCACACTAAAATACGTTCCCCAACAATTCACCTTCCTTTTAAAAAATCTGCTGTATGGTTGAAAAGAAGCTGATGGGCAATTAACTTAAAAATATCAGTGAACACACTGACATAAGGTTTCATTAACCCAGTGTCATACATACTTAAAAAAAAAAAGACAAAAATCAAATAGCTGACTACTATAGATGAGTAAAGGTTTGCTTTTGCTCTGATTTTAATGAATCCTACTCAGTCATGAGGACACCATTTACTCAATGTTGAGATGAGACAATGACATTCCAGAAAAAAAAAAAAGATATAGGCACTAAAGTCATCTCATAAAATAATGATAATGAACTCATAAATTTCTTCAAGTGGACACGATTCTATTTTATAAAGTAATATAGTTTATGCCCAATTAATAACTATGTATTTAAGGTAAAGTTGACATTTTGGCATAAACATATAATTTGAAATAGGCACTACAATAAAACTATTAAATGTATCCATTATTTCACAAAGCCACCATTTGTGTGTGTGATAGAAAGAACACTTAGGATTTTACCTTTGACAAATTTCAAGCATTCAGTATTGTTATCTACAGTCAGCATGCCGTAGATGGCAGACTTAAATCATTCTGCCTAACTGCAACTTTGCACCATGACCAACATCTCCAACCTTTTCCTGTTCTACTCTATTCTATTCTGTTCTCTGCTTCTGTTAAGTTTGGCTACTTTGAATTCCCACTTCTAGGAAATGATTCAAACAAACTGAAGACAGGGTCTAGAAGAGATGTTGGCTCTCCTATGTTCACTGCAGCATTATTTACAATACCCAAGACATGGAAACAAGCTAACTGTCCACTGACAGATACACAGATAAAATGTATGTACATACAGTGAAGTATTACTGACCATTAAAACATGTTGTCATTTGCAAGAGCATAGGCCCTTCTGGTTAAAAACCTCTCTTCATGTTGCCTTCCCTGATTTATCAAGTCCTTTTCTACAAGCTACTTTTGTTCCTGGTCACTTCACCCTTTGTGGAGAGTAGTGTCTGGATGTGAATTCCAGTTCTGCCACTTAATAGCTGAGGAACACTAGACGAGGATATATTCCTTTAAGTATGAAACAGAAAATTATAATGGTATCTACCTTATGGGATATGTAGATTAGTTAAATTACTACAGACTTTGAAGAGTATTAGTAAATAAATACCAATGTTGGGGATTCTCAATTTTTAAATTCTGATCCAGTAGGGGTCTGAGATGTTTTCTGAATTTCTAGTCAACCCCAGAGTGATACTCCCGGTTGATACTGAAGCTGCTGGTCCATTATTTACACTGAGCAGCAAGCATCTATTTCATGCTGTCTTCTATTTTTCAGCACATCCTATTTTCAATTCTATTCTTGTTTATGCTTTAGTTCCTGCACTTGATAGACCAATAGTACAAATACATATTCTAACTTCCTTTATTGTTCTTACTGCCCCTTCATTAAGATATAAAGTGTTTTATACATGGTACTGTAAACATCTGCCAAATATACCATTAAAATAATTCATTAATAAGCTTTTTCAAGGTGAAATCTTATGAATCGCATTTTATAGATGGACATTTAGCAAGTATCCCAGCTACCCTAATAACAAAATATAGAGTTAAAAAGCCAAAAACTCTTCAAAAATATTTTTTTTTTCCATGCTGTCACCAGGCAAGAAAGCACAAAATGGAGCATCAGCTAGCAAATCTGATGGGGATGGAGCTGTCCTTGATGATCCTGAAATTGTTGCTTATTTGATTTGGTTGCTGGTATTGCTGCTAGTGGGTCTTGAGAACCAGTCTCTGGGTCAGTCTGGGTAGAGAGCAGTAGTGAAGACTTACAGGGGATATAATTTCACTTTTAGAACATGATACATTTAGGAAGCTATGGAACATCCAAGTAAAAATATACAGAGCTCAGGAGAAAGAAAGGCATGAGCTCTGGGCATTAGCAAAGGTCTAGGAGGACAGCGTTTAAGGGTAAGTGAGGGCAACAAGTGTGTGTGTATGCACTAGATCAGCAAATTTTTAACACAAACTTTTAATTTTAATGAGTTTTTTTTCTATGTAAAAACATTTTTTGTTATTCTAGAACATCAGAGATTGAAAGGGTATTTGAGATATTTTATTCTATTCCTTTTCAAATGAGAGGATGGGAGGCTGACATGTTAAGTCACTCCTAATTTATGTCAGAGGTCTCAGAAACCAAGCTTTCTGGACCCTTGTTTGCAGATATTTTGAAAGTCAGTAAAGGAAGATAATATACAGACATTAACTTCATTGTTAAATTCATTAGAATAAAATATAGTCTAAGATTAAGGTTAACATGGCCTTTCTTTGACTCTGCTACTTGGCCATACCACGACTGGGGTTAGTGTCCACATAATGTAAAGGACAGCTTAGGAATGCTCCAAAGCAAGTTTCCAAAGAACTTCTCAAGTCAGAGATATACAATAAAATATATGTTAAACTGGGTTTTTTGAATCAGATTTGTTTTACTTTCTACACAAGGCAACACAAATTAGAAGGCATATCAGATCTAAGGCTAACTCTTGTTAGGCCTAACTTGGGCTAACTCTTGTTCTGTTCTTTACTGTCTTCTCTATGCAAAATGTTCACAGCACAGTTCTAATTCTAATTTAAAAGCAAAACGGTGTGCATAACACTTTTCATTCTATCCAGTCTTTTAACTCAATTCCTTTACTGCCTATTGAGATCTATGTACAATTACAATTCCTAACATTATTAAAAAATAAGAAAATCCAGTAATTCTTATGGCAAATTTTTTTAAAAAGTTAATTATTCAACAGAGGAAAACGTATCAGAAGAAAAATTTGCAAGTTGAACCAAAAAAACTGAAGTGATTATGAGGTAAATATATTAACTTTAACAAATCAAAATAAGATCATGTGCCCTACAAAACACCTACTTTCCTAGTAGTTTTTTTTTTTTTAACAGCAGATAAGAACAACATTATTGTCCAAATCATAGTATACAAAGTAATAGATGAAAGCACAGGACTACTTTACAGGTAGCTGATATTTTCTACAAGAGGTTATAAAGAGAAATTCCATTTCTGGAATTGGTATTCATCATTACTTTTACTACATGTACTAACTCAAAGAATTGCAACAGTAAAGCAAGCAAAAGTTACTTTGCTACAAGAAAGAAAATTCTAGGTCATTTTTCAAAGTTGGGAATTTGCATAGTGAACTTTGTCGAAGTGAGACCCATCTGCAATGATTTATTTATGTGCGTCAGAGGTAAGCCATTTCTGGAAAGGGGTAGACTGTAAATAGTTTAGGTTTTGTGACCCTGTCTGATGAACTACTCAACTTTGCCACAATAATACAACAACTACCATAAAAGGTATTTCAGTGAATGAGCATGGCTGTATTCCAACAAAAATTTTCAAAACTAGGAGACAGGCCAGATTTGGCCCTTCATGACAATTTTGCCATCCATTCACCTACAAGACCAAATTATCTCTCAATTTCTCCTGACCAGGAAAGCTTAACTACTGACTCAGAAAAAGAATTCACTAATGGTAAACACTATTAGAGTGATACACTTTATACAGAATGTTTTCTCTAGAAATACTTAGGTGTGAATATAGTCTTGTATTTCATGAGGTTAAAACAGATTATTTCTTTCATTTAGCAAAGACTCAAATGAGAGTTAAAAAGTTTGACATTCACAAACATTTCTAAAATTATTCTATACGAGGGTTAATACAATGAATCCCATATATTGGTTGGTGTTCTGTTATGTAGCACTTAAGATAATACTTTGCCAAGAAAATTAAGAGGAAATTATGGTAACAGCAATATAATTAGTGTATAAGATAACGTCATGGACAAGATATGTACTAGTTACTGGATGCCTCCTCATGTCCCAAGGACACAGAATAGAAAATAAACATCTCAAAACCTGATGAATCAAAAAGTCTTCTCTTGTCATTCCAGAAGTATATCTCTATTTCCCTGGACACACGGGCCCAGCTTGCATATACAGTTGTGCAGGATCAGAAAAGATCCCTGGGCAGGTGTGGATGGGTAGGTCTTAAAACAGTGATTAGCGGGATACTTAATAAAAAACCTGGGGTACAATTATATGGCTAAATACATATATGCAAAAATAGTATATACTAAATGCATAGTAAATATGGTATATCTAAGTCATGTGAATACCCCAATAAATAAAGCCAAGTATTTATAATTTTGCTTATGTAAATAAGGAATACATTTTATCACCCATGAGATTAAATTTTCTAAATAGTTTAACAACAAGAAGGAAACATGAAGAAACAGACAAATCTCGAATATATGTGTGACACTTTCAAGATGAGTGGGCATGGATTTTTTAAAAAAAGGTCAACATGATCAAAAGTAAAAGTTAACTGGATCAAAATTGGATCCAGTTGCAAAACACTACAGAGATACAACATACACTATGGATGATCCTCTTTTGGATCTTGGATTAAAACATCATAAAAGACATTTTGGGAACAACTGGAAAAATCTGAATATGGACTGCACATTATAGAAAATATTACCAAAGAGTAACTTCTTGGCATGATTAATATGATTGTTTAGGAGATTCTTATTATTAGGAGGTACACATTGAAAGATTTAGAGATTAATGTCATATGTTGCTTAACATTGAAATGGCTCAGAAAAAATGTTTGTATTTACAGATTAAGTATAAAATAAGGTAAATTGAAGTCAGGTTATCAGTTTAATAACTGTCTACAGGTTTGAGATTTTTCAAATTTAAAATTTTGCGAGGGAGAGAACCTTCCAGGATTGACTTTAGTTTGGCTCCTTTTGCAGCATTATAAACCACCTTTACCTTCCTTCCCCTCCATACTCATCAACTGCTTATATTCTATTACTTTTTTAGGACCCAACTATGTCACAAAGGCTATTTTCCTTTCTACTAAGAATTAAGGGTCAGCTTGGCAGTCATTTCTGTCAGGCCGTTTCCACTAATTCCAGGTTGGATTAAGGACCCTATTATACTATACTGTCATTATGTCCATGTAAAAATTCTCACCTGTTTGTTCCCCTTACTATATTGCAAGATGTGGAGATTTTGCCAGCCTTGACATAGAGAAGACCTCCCACGGATGTTTACTGTACATGACTGAAGACGTACTAATATTAAATGGAGTCGAAGGGCGGAGAAGTGGTGTGGAATTGACAGATGGAGAGGAGGGATATAAATGACAATTAATGTGCCAGGCATAAGGCAAGAAAATTCATGTCTGCTATCTCATTCAGGCAGACAATACTTGGATTATTTTCTAAAGGGAAGATTCCTATCTGTCCACATATATAATTTTAACTCTAATATTAATCAGTTAATCTTAGAACACTTTCTGCTCTTTGTTGTACATCATTTTGACTCTGCTTATTAAAGTCAGTTTTCACACCCATAAAATGGGGATAGTTATCTAGCTATTTTTAGAATTTTGCTAAAAAACAAAACAAACAAAAAAACAAAACAACAACAACAACAAAAAAACCACTGTACAAGCAGGCACTGAGTAAGCATTCCTTAAAATAGCACTGTTTTTCTCCTTCAATTAATCTTCTCCAGCTTCCAAGGTTCCTCTGCCCCTTTACTGTTTGAAGAGCAAATGCAAGGACAGGTCTTTGGCCAAATAACAAGATTAAAATCTTCTCAGATTTCAGAGGAAGGGGTTGGGGGTGTGGGGGGACTGGCAGGCTTGTATCTTTACTGACCCTAGTATACTGAGACTCCACCACGAATTCTCAGTATAGGATGATAGACTAAGGCTTTTAGGAGTTTGCTATTTATTAAAACCCTGAAAGAATGCAGTTAAGTGAAAACTATAACAAGTAACATTCAATAATTAAACAATAGTATATTTTCCCACTCTCTTTAAGAACTTAAAATAGAACATTTCTCACTAAAGATTTTGTTGAATTGATTACACAAATAAAAATCAAATAAATGCCATAGGCTTTTAAGTTTATACAGGGACCCCCTATTCACAAAAGGAAAAAGATCCAAAGCTGGGCTCTCCCTGGTGATGCAAAGGGTTATTAAAGCACCGCATTATGGGGCTCTCTGAAGCCACTGCAGCACGAGCTAGATCCCCAGCCCCGATCGAGCACGAGCTCGATCCCCATCCCCGATCGCCATCCCTGGCCAGGGAGCTGACCCACATGGTACAGCAGACCTCTCCTGACTCGCCTGCTGCTCCCCTCAGCAGTGTACTTCCTCAGTAGGCTTGTTCTGCTCCCCACTCTGTCTCTGGTGAGTCCTCTTACCCACCACACTTCTGGTCTGTACCCCAGTTCTGTATGTTTAAATAAATAAATCTTAAAAAACAAACAAACAAAAAAAGATCCAAAGCTAAGCCAAGGAGGCAATTTAGCTTTATGCTAAGAACTCAAGTTACTAACTTACTTTACAAATTGAACAAGAGTCAAAATGCTAAATTCATTTTTAGCTTTAAAACATAATTATTTTGGTTCTGTTAGATCGGTTTCCAATCACATGCTTCTGGGAACCATGCAGTGTGAACATGTTTAAAGGCATATACTCAAAAATTTATAGTAGTTTCACAGATTCTAAACTACAATTTTATTCCCCATTATTAACTATCAGAGATAGCATAGAGAGAAGTTCACAGATTTTGAATCTAATCTTTGGTTGTAATTATTTCACCTGTCATCTAACCCTCTAAGAAATAAAACAACAACAACGACAACACTTTGAGGTCTCAATCCACTTTACGAAAAGAAAGCTTTATGAAAAGCCTGAACAATGAATTTAAACATTAAGGAGAAAATGAGAAACGTTAGGTGTGTGAAGTAGGAAATGTTAATTTCATGCACTTAGGAACACACACTCACACCCCACAGTAGTAGAAGCAGTAGAAGAGGAAAACACTACATGTGTAGGGGTAGAAATATTTGTTACATCATGATGCTGGCTGGCGATGGAGGGTTGCCGCCTTAGAGCCCCCTGAATGGAACTTCCACTCTGGAAAGCATTCACTACATCCATCTGCAAGGAATCAGAGATTGTGACAGCTTGCTCAGCAAGAGAGAGAGAGAACAAGAGAAAGGACCATTCCATCTATCAATATATAAAAAGTAAGGAAAAAGGCACTTTTACAGAGCAGATAAAATAGGCAAGAGTAGCAATTTGAGATGAAGGGGGGAAAAGCTAGGAAAAAAGTTGCTTAGGGGCATATAGACACAGTCTTTCATGATGAGTTAAAACTTTCATTCATTCCAGGCACCAGTACAATTTTTATAAGTTTTATGGGTTGGGAAGGCTAGAAAGGAAGTCAAGGAGCATGTTTAAACCTCCTCCCCAGGTGCAAAAGCCCTTGGTTCCCGCTCCCTCCATCTTTCCTACCTCTCTACCAGGCCCATACCTGTGTCTGGATTCTGTTCAGACCTCTAAACCACAAGATCTGGCCACGCCGCAATTCCCTTTCAGCGTGATCAATCTCTTCCACGTCCTCTGCTAACTCCTCCTCAGGTATTTCCTCCTTTTGTGTTCCATGACCAGCTTCTTTTAGGAATTTTAAACGACTAGTTGGAATTGTTGAAATAAGCTACAATATAGGGGAAGGCACTTAGAAATAAATCATAATACAAGTAAACTGACCAACTTCAACACAAAAGGTATGAAAAGTAACAAATGTGTCCAACTCTCTTTACCAATGAAGAATGAGATCCTTTCCATCAGCCCTTCTTTCTCAGAAGAAAAAATATTCTTCTCTTAGCTATACAAAAGATTTAAGCTTGAAAGGTAAAAAGATTTCCTGAATGGAAATAACCTGATTATATTTTTCATATTTTAATATGAACATTCAAGATAGTAAATTATACAGCCATGCTTGGATACATATGTACACATAAACATGTATTTACTTAAAGTCACATGAATTACATTTATAACAAGTAAAACCAAAAATGGCATGTGATCTCACTGAATGTAAAACAGTTACTGTTTTAGGAGTTCGATGAGAAAAAAAATAATGAAAACCAAAATATTCTTTAAGGCTAAAGTGAAATTACGTATTAAAGGTATTTATTAGAAAATGAAACTACTGAAAATTGAAAAACACAGATTGATAATGACACCAGACAAGAACAGGTGCCCCAGACAACATACAGGGTAGAAAGAGTGCCAATAAGGATCATGAACTTGTAGGTATTGGTTGCCATTTCCGAAGGAAGCGGGGATCCTTTTAGGGGGTGGGGAGAAAGCACACATAGTAGGATACATTACTTTTTGGAGAATTCCTACACCAACCATCTCATTCAAAAAGTGATTTTTTAAAAAGACATGAGATGTGACATTCACGGGATGACTAAGACCCTAAATCTTTCTACCATGGCACACGTCAATTGATGACGTCCACCAAAGACAGTAACTGATGTCCGCTGAGTAAGTATGCTGCACCGAGTTTCTGTTCCCTGAAATCAGTCAGATATTTTGGGAAGTTGTGGAGTCAGCTTTGCCTATGAGGGAATATTATAAATAATTAGAAAGATTATCAAAAATGAAAGCTGGACCAAGTGTGGATCCTACTTAAAAAAAACAAAAACAAAAAACCTCAATGAGGTCTTCAAAATGAGTAAGAGGAGAAAAGAAATCTCAGTACCTAAAAACACAATTAAGAAAAAAGTGAGATAAAAGGAATATAAAGATTAAATGAAGTCTAAGTGAAACCTGCATGTTTCACTGACTTGAAGAAAATAAATTATTCACACAGCTATACATTGTACATATATTAACTTTCATTTAGGAAAATATTAGTACAAAATTTTATCAGTAAATTTTGCAGTAATGGTAATGAATCTAAAATGAACAATGCACACACCATTACTCCTTCTCTTAAAAAAAAATGACATACATTTGGAAGTCAGTTGCCTATAATAAAGATGAAGGATATTTTCTTTTTCAGTGTATTCTATACATATACTGTTAAAACCATTCAATCCAAATAATCAAAACTGTCATCTTTTGGTCCTTTCTTCAGATACCATTCTTTTAATGAAACTGTCCTCTAAGAGGACTATAACAAAATTTTTTCCTATACTAGATTTTGGGTTAAAAAATACAATGATGAACAGCCTAAACATAATTATTTTTACATTTTTGCAAAAACATTTACTTTGAAAGTGAAAAATAGGTCTTAGGGCAAAAATCACAGATATAACATCCTAATAAGTTACAAATGCATCATTTTAACAAGTGCTATAAAATTTGGGGAAAAAAATAATTTAAGACAGTATACTTATTGTATTAAGACAGTACTTTACTGTATTGGCATAAATACAATAAACAAGTAATATTATAAAACAAAAAAGGTATGTCCTGGTTGATTTTCCTTGATCCAGAATAGTGACTATTCAGAATGAAGTAAGAAAGCTAATTAAAGAAAAACACATATCAAAAATTTAAAAATAATCAATATAGGTTTGAACAAAAAACAATGAGATTTTTTACCTGGCCCCAGAGTAAGGTCCCCATTCCTAGGAATATTGACCATAGCCACTGCTCTACTGAAAGTTCTGAACAACTGAAAGGCTTTCCACCAAACTGCACAATTATTATCTGGAGGAATAATCAAGAGTAAATTTATTGAAATCTTTAAAAATTTACAATTGATATACTTTCAACAATTACCCAAATCTGTGTCTTCAAAAACTCAAGCTGAACAATCACTAATTTGATGAAGTGTGTTACATACATTCAAAGCTGAAAATAAGGCAAATGAAATAAAGTAAAATCTCTCTACCACCAATTTTAAATGCATTGCATTTTACACTATGCTTCCAACATCTCCAATTCTCAGCATCAAGATACTATACACTGTTTTCAATATAGTCCCATAAGTAACTGTTTCCCTGCATTGTCTTTTTTTGTTTGTTTGTTTAAATAATTTAATGTTCTTTTGCAGGAAGAGATGACATGCTATGGAAAAAGGAACATATTAATCTTTTTGCCCTACATAACTGTTTATTTCTAGTTTATATTAAATGTTAATACAAAAATGAATAGACAGTGAGAGCAAAAATGCAAATAGCAAAGTTCTATGAAATACTGTGTTAAACTCAGGTGCCCTGAGAACTTTGCTCTCCCTTATTAAGGAGAACATGAATAAAATTCATATTACAATGCATGTTTCCCTTTTTATTTTAAAGGAGGAACAATGCTTAACAGGATTGGTAGACTGAGTATATAATGATTATATACTCCCAAGATCTGCCAAGAAAAAAAAAAAAAGAGTGAGAATGAGAATTAGCTAGTAAGTAAGACAGAGAAATAAAACTTAATACAATTTATAAGGTGAGTTCCTCCTTCAGGGTACCTCAGACCAGACACAAATGAAATAGGTACATATCAACGGTCATTTATTTTCCTAATCAACTGATTCTCTGCAAAAGAGATATTCTAAGTGCTACTGCATGACTGAAGGACAAGCAAGATGCATGGAAGTACAAGTCAATGCATTGCTTGCACAGCAGAGCTGCTAGTACTGCTACTACTCTACTATAAGAAAAGATAAAAATAAAAGAAAAAAAGCACAATCCTCCAGCAATAATACAAAAGCTTTTGGCTAAAATACTGAATTACCAAAACAAAAAAGTATGACATAAAAACTAAATCTAGAGTTTGGGTATTTATAGTACAAAAGGTATATACACTGAAAAGCTTGTTTAAAATTCTTACATTTTCATTTTGAAATAACACCTTGAATTTTGAATTTTTTTTGTGTTTACTGACTTCCTGGTGTGATCATGCATCATTCACTTACCTGTTTTGATTACAGATTTTACTATTAACAACCATTTACATAGAGGAATACTATAGATTCCATGATAAAATAAACATAGGTGTAATATGTATATAAAATCACCATATGCAAAATGTTCTCTCTAAAGAGAGGAAAAACTTCAGTCCTTCCTATTTAATCTCAATTCTACTCTGGACACCCCTCTTTCCACCCTCTTTCTGCCATGTTTTGACACATTACAAAATGAAAATTTGGTCAGGCTGCAACCATTTAGAATCACTTGCATTTTAAAATACAGACATAAAACTATTATTAATTTCAAGAAGTAATCACACTAGCTAGACTAGAAAGTGATAATAAACTGTAAGATTATCCTAAGTAACATCAAAATTATATCAGCTTGCTAATGCTGTAGAATGAACAATCAGAATCAAAGTAGTGTGAGTGTCACAATCATAGAACCACTAGTGTGATTAAAGTAGTATTAGTTTAATGTGCTCTTCTCCCTGAAGGATTTTAGGGTCAGGTTTATTTTACTGGGTATTATGATATTTTTAGATGTCACCAGGGCATTACATGGAAGCCAAACACATGTAGCTGTCAAGTCCCCATTCATCTAATACAATTCAAATATCATCAAGTTGAAACTATCTTTTCCAATTACCCACCTGTACCACAAAAGTGCCTAAAACAATTGTGCAGAAGATGGCATTATTAAAGATTCCTTCAAACACATTTCTTTCACCATGAATTTTCCGGGCATTTATTTCGTTGAAAAGTTGCATCAGCACAAAGGTATTAAAAACAATAGTATAATGTTCCGAAGGAGGAGCATGCAAAGGAGCATTTCTTCCACTATCAATATCAAAAAACTTTTCTCCTGTAAGAATAAAAACATTACTGTTTTGTATGATACTTAACACTCAAGGAAATATGCAACAAGAAAACTTAGCTGGTCCTTTATTTGATCACAAGTGACAGCAAAGGAAGCATCAGAAGGCATCTGCAATTATCTAGAACTGTTTTATTTAACAGATGAGCACACTGAAGTTTCCAAAACTATACTGAAATTTTCAGAATCACCTATCTACATTAGTGGCAGACCCAGAGTAATTAATTCATCAGGACTTGTCACATTTTTGCCCTCTATCATACAGCCATGGCCTTCCAACATTTACTACGCATTCAATGATAAAGGAAGAAATTAAAGATAAATAAATGGGGAATCAGAAATAGAATTTATGTTGCTGAAAAAGTATAACATAAAATATCTGGGATAATATGAACTTGGAACAGAATAAATGGAACCCATAGTAATCAATGAAATCTTACCAGCAAACAAGAGTGTAAAGACTACTACAAGTTGATAGAACGCATGACCCAAAATATTCTTCATCATTGTGCGTGAGATAAGAGGCTTATTTCTACCATAAGGTTTCCGAAGCAAGAGGGACTCGGTCGGTGGTTCAGTTGCCAGAGCCAGGGAAGCGAGCGTGTCCATTATAAGGTTTACCCATAGCATCTGCACAGCTTTAAGTGGTGAGTCCTAGAAAAGATAGGTTTCCTAATAGACATTCATATCTATTTAGGGATAGCAATTCTTAGGAAGAATTAAGTATTCAAAAACTTGAGTAATACAGGATTAGTTTTTCTATCAGTTAACCTATTTGGATACTTAACTAATTAAGTACTTTAAAAAGCATTTTAGCTTATTTAAACATTTAAGTACTTACTTAAATATTTAAGCATTATTAGAATGTAGGTTACATACATTTTACTTTAAAATACACAAATTATAATAACCAAATAGTCAACCTACTTGAGTAATACAGGCACCCGTGAAAGCAACAATCACTGCTACTACATTAACAGTAAGCTGGAACTGAAGGAATTTTGAGATGCTGTCATAGACATTTCGTCCCCACATAACTGCTTTAACAATGCTTGTAAAGTTGTCATCTGTGAGAATAATATCAGACGCTTCCTTAGCTACATCAGTTCCAGCGATGCCCTATTAAAAAAAAATTCTGTGAATTAGACTAAATGTATAAAGGACAACTTTTAAGTATTAAAAGGCTAATATTCAGTTAAGCAAAAAAAATTACCATTATACTAAATCACTGACTCAAATTTAATGTAAAAGAGTTATTCTAAGATGGTATTTCCAAAGATATTCTATTTTAGCATAAATCAAACATAAAGACACTGAAGAATGCTGATATTGGGTTAAAAAACAGAGAACTGGATGAAGGCATTATCCAAGTTCCTTTCAAAAGTCCAATCATTATGGAAAGCTGTGTGGAGATTCCTTAAGCTACTAAAAATGGAGGTTCCACATGATCCAGCAATTCCACTCCTAGGAATTTACCCAAATGACACAAAAACATTAATTCAAAAGGACAGCTGCATCACTATGTTTACTGCAGCACAATTTACAAGAGGTAAGCTACCGAAGCAACCTGAATGTCCAAACACAGGTGACTGGATCAAGAAGATGTGGTATATTGTATTTACACGATGGATTATTACTCGGCAATCAAAAAGGATGAACTCATGCCCACCACAGCAACATGGATAGAGCTGAAAGGGATATGCTCAGTGAAATAAGCCAGAAAGATAAAGAAAAATATCGAATGGTCTCACTTATAAGAGGAATATAAATAAGGAAAAAAAATTATAATAAAGTAAAAATCAAAATTATCAGGCCAACTATATATCAGAGACACTGTAGGGGAGGAGGAGGGAGAAAGATCAGGATAGGAGTAAAGAGCACAAGGGATTATGGTGATGGTGCACGGGTGAACTGGTGGTGGGAATTTCACAGGGAAATCATACTTTGTACAAAAATGGATGATGTAATGAATATATTTAAAAAAGTAACACAAAAAGATAGATCAAAAAATACCACCCCTCAAAGACAAAGTGAGTGGGTAAGGAGACAAACAGTGGTTAAACAGTGAATAAGGTTTTAAGAAAACTTTATTTAAAGACTGGAAAGCAGAAAAAACACATCCTATTTTTATTGTGCCTTACTTTATAGGCACATGATTTTTTAGTAAACTGAAGGTTTGCAGCAACCTTGCATTGAATAAGTCTATGGCACCAGTTTTACAGCAGCTTATGCTCACTACATGTCACATATTAGCGAGCCTTGCCATATTCAAGTTTTCACTGTTATTCAATCTGTTAAGATGATCTGTGACCAGTGATCCTTGATCCCACATTGTTACCTTCCACATTCATTTGTGGACTGAATGTAGGGCTTCTAACTGGCTGGTGCTCTTGTTTTCACTATTCAATTCCTTGTTGCCTGAGCCTCTAGGAGGCAACTACTCACCATTTGGACCACAATACTAAAACAGTTTCTTAATGTGCGAAGATTTAACAAATATAACTCATAATGATCCACAGTTTAGGGCCCTCTCTAGTGGTAAAGTGGGTTAAAGCACAGCACTAAGAAGCTAAAGCCACTTCAGCATGAGTTCAATCCCCAGCCTGGGAGGTGACCTCATGGCTCGGCAGACCTCTCCTGACCTGCCCGCCGATCTCCTCAGTGGTGTACTTCATCAGTCTCGTCAGTTGGCCTGTCTGCTCCCCACTCTGTGAATCCTCTCACCGCTCCTGCACCTCTGGTCTGTACCCCAGTTCTATATGCATAAATGAATAAATCTTTAAAAAAAAATCCAGTCTAAAAGATAATAACCCAGTTTAAAAGATAATATTTTAATTACCTTGCAAATATTTTGTTACCATACATATCTGGTTATAGAAATACATTGACATTTTTAAAGTTTTTAAAATTTATTTAGGCATACAGAACTGGGGTAAAGGGCCAGAGGTGCAGGAGCAGTGAGAGGATTCACCAGAGAGGATGCAGAACAGGCAGACTGACAAAGTACATTGCTGAAGGGAGCAGCAGGCAAGACAGGAGAGGTCTGCTGTGCCATGTGGGTCACCTCCCTGGCTGGGGATTGAACTCACACTGACGCGGCCACGGCTTGGCTTAGCTTCGCAGTGCAGCGCTCCAACTGGCTGCGCCATCAGGGAGGGCGTTTTGATAACATCCCACACATTGGCATTTTGTTGTTGATAACAGAAATAACTATACATGTGGTTAAGTGAATCTTGGTAAGAATAACATAATAAAATAACATAATCATATTTTAAATGTACTATGGAGGCTTGCTATTTAAAGGAATTCTAAGGGGAGTGACCTAACATGGGAAAATGCCAATGTCTGTGTACAAATGAATAATATTCTCAACATTACAGTTCTTTTGTAAATCTTATTATTGTAAATTTTATTTCACTGTTGAGTTTGCTAAGTATGTAGAGTGTATAGACATACTCAGAGAGAATGTTATAGTGTTGTAAATGCTGTTTCTGCTTGAAAAATAAGTATAGAGCAAAAGAATCAATAGCAATTTCTTGTGGTTATCTAATAAAAGTTTTAAGACAACTTTATCATTTGGCTTCAAAACATGATATTGAAGAAATGAACAAATACATAATCAAAGTAAATTCCAGCTTAAGCAAGAATGTTTTTAAGTCCAAACCACTAAGCACTTATTTTTTCACTGTTTTAGAAAACTTCAAGATTTCTGATGTGCTCCCTTAAAAAAAGTGGTACAATGAGTCTAAAACTCAGTACTTAAAAATGCACTCTACATTAACATTCCTAATCAGCTATACAGAGGAAAGCAGTACTAAGCATTCTACTTAATGCTAGAAGAGCAGTGAGTGATCTTGTGTTGCTCAAGTGGAATAGGCTGTTGACTGTAGCAAACAGAGTGGTGCTGCTTAATTATCCCTTAACTCTTCAGCTTTTCTTTACAGCTCTTCAGAAGTTACATACAGCTGTCACCCTAGTTAAGTTTGGAATGGTGTACGGTGGGGATCACTGGGTTCATAGCAACTGTTTGAGAATATGCTACCCAAATCATTTCTTTTCTCCAACTCTCTCCCTCCAGTAGAAGTGTTGACAGCATGGCTGTGGTCCTTCTACATTAGCAGCAAAATATAAGGTGGACAAATAATGCAAATAAACACTCATACACATTCTTTTACCTGAAACCTGTGGCGCTAGACTGTGCTTCAGAATTCAAAGTCTCTCAAAAGTTAGAAAGGTAATAACATATATACTATTGATCACGAATTTTCCCCAAAGAGAAAGCTACACTGGCTTTCAATAATCATATTCACATTAAGTCAGACAAGTTACATTCTCACATCAGATCAAAGTAAGTTTTACAGTCAGATGAGTCTGCTGTAAATTTAGGAAAAAAATTTCAGTTTTCAGAGGTTTTTGGATTTGCAATTTATGATCAGGAACCTTTAATTTCCAAAAGTGAAATGTAATTAAAATCAAGTACAATAATTTTCTAGGGCAATAAAGATACAAATATTCACCCCTACACTGGAAACCTGTAAGAAACTGGTTCAGGCACAACAAAGCAATCATCATTAAGCATTTCTGTAGCACAAGTATTTTATGCTATTCATTTTACAGCAAACATTTCATCAGTAATACAGTTACACCATAAGAAAATAATGATGAAATGCTGACATTTTCTAGCACCTTTAAGAATCAAATCTGAGGATGTGGTGGGGGGAGTAGACTTTCACTCTCACTCACAAAAAGATTACATTTATTATATATTCAAGTTACTCTTAGGAGACATTTTCAGTTGAGTGGAAGATTCCTAATTATATTTATGGTTTAAATGCACATATCTTTCTAAGCCTGTCTCCTATAAGAGGACTGTCGTATGCTTCAGATGAGATGACATTTACATATTTCATAATGTACGTTCAGGTAAACATAGTTATGTTATAACTGCTTCAAAACAAGTCCTTTTCCAGCCATACTGTATAAACCAATTATATTTATACCAATTTAGGATTATATATTAATCCTCAAACTAATCTTGAGAGACAGTGTTTAAAATCAGTAGCAATTTAATAAAAAGCCATCCAACCAACCAAAGAATTCAGTCAGTAAATTGCATCTGAATACTTGAATAGGTGAGTTCATACCATAGCAAATCCAACATCAGCTTTCTTTAGTGCTGGGCCATCATTTGTACCATCACCGGTTACAGCTACAACCTGGCGTTGTTCTGAGACAGTACTGTCAATTATACCTGAAATAAAAGTAAATATTTGTGCTGTAAAAACATTTCCTCTGATTAATTAGGGTGATTCTACAGGACATCCTGACTAGTCAGTTTTATAGACTCAAGGTTAAAATTAAATAATTAAACAAACAGAGAGAAATGGAAATTGCTGAGATGTTGGTCATGGACCAGCTCCAGAAACTAAGGTTGTATCAGGAGCAATTTCCTGTCCTAATGACTTAACATAAACATAAGTCACCTAAGGTATCAAAAGGAAAGGTATTTAAATTTTTATTGGGAAAAAAAAATCCATGATTCAATCTACTATTCAATTTCTAATACTATTTTAGGAAGCAAAACATATTTTTATATTAAGAAACTTTAAAATGTAAAATCTACTCACCTTTAACCAGTGTATGTTTATCAGTAGGAGATGATCTTGCAAGAACTCGTAACTTTGGCCAAATCTTGTCTATCCGCTCTTGCTCAATCTATAAATTTTTGTCAAAGTTAAAATGTGCCCAAACCTAGTTTCACAATTGAAATTAGCTATCTAGTATATACATCAGTGGTTCTCAAAGTGGGGTAACAGAAAGGCATTATCAACAACTCCTGAGAACTTGTTAGAAATGCACATTGTTGAACAAAGCCTCAAGCCTATCTTATCAAATACTTTGGGGTGAGGTTAGGAATCAGTATCTTAAGAAGTTCTCTAGGTCTGTGATGCATACTCAAGTTTGAAAACCACTGCTATGTGTAAGATAAAATCTTTAAAAAAAAACTTCCCATCATCTAGAAATATGGAAACTTCTTAATTTAGCATAAAAATTCAAAAGTCTGGAATCACCTAAAAATATGCCCCGTACTAATCTTTCCAAATACAGCTTCCTTACACATTTTAATTTCTGAAATTAACTTAAACTGAAAAGAATACTTAACTTGCTACAAATGACATTTCTTTTACCACTTGATTTCTTAGAATGCTAGGTTCTGTTTCTTGGGGTGTGGACGACTTTTAAGCGCATAGGGTGCCTTAAAAGTCTATGTATAGTGCATAGTGCATAGTCTATGTATTTGTTGAATGAAATTCCTAATATACTAAAAATAGTCTTTTTCAGCATAAAAATCAAAAAAACCTCTTACCTCTCCTTTTTCATTTCGAATTCTTCTGTTGAAATCTTTACCTTCTAGGCACAGGAAATCTTCTCCAGGATGCAAAATACCACACTTGGTAGCAATGGCACGAGCAGTATTAATATTATCACCAGTGACCATCCGCACAGTAATTCCAGCCCTCTGACATTTCTTTATTGCATCTGGTACCTGGTGTGCATGGAACAAATATTGAGAAATAAAATTAGTATTTCCAGAGGGAGAAAAAAATATTCCATTAAACAAATGTGTATGACTTCATAGTTTCACAAAAAAATAACTTTTAACTCCATCTCAAGATACACAATGTTTCTTTGAATTAGTCCCAATGATCTCCTTCCCTCCCCTAGTACCACAGCCCTAAAAGTTTAGGCTTCATTTTCTGCTGCCATCCTAACCTGTTTGCATTATATACACCAAAGGTTTTTTAAAGTGCCTTACCTTCCCTGGCAACCACTAAGCAACTCTTTTCGGGTTGGCTATCTACCCTTCTGGTTTTACTGCCCAGACCAGAGTCAAATATTGGCACTGTTTAGGATTATGGGTGGCTCACTTTCCCCTACGCCTTATCTGGCAAAGGTCATCTGACTATCCTACCATCATCTGTGTGCTAACAGCTTGTAAATCAACATCTTTCCTCACCTTAATGTGAGAAATGGATTTACAGTTCCACCAGAAGAGTGGACATCAGAATTTGGTAATTTTTCTGTTTTCTAGAGTTATTTAACAGAAACCTCAAGGCCAGCTGACCTTCTTCTGTCTCCCCTTTCCCTATACTTCAAGGACTCTCCCACTGCTTGCTGCCTGCACACATGCCCAGGCCTTCATATACATACAGAACTTGACTGGAAACCCTGTCTTGATGTTTATCCCTCTTAAAAGACCTCATATACTCGATTCCTCAATTATAAGTGACAAAAGTTCTCAGAATTACAGGTACCACAATTCAGTCTGAGTATTTTTTGAGATTTATCTAAAATTTTCCTCTATATACAAGGGACAGATGGATAACCTATATGTTAATTTTTGTGCCTCTCCTTCGGAAGTTTTTTTGCAAACAAAAAAGACTTTCCTGATCTTCTCTAAACAAAAGCCCATACTAATCCTGCTATAGGAGAGTCTGCAAATGCCTACAGACACACGGGTTATTTAGCATAAAAAGGAAACATGCTGAACATGATTGGCTAGCTACTCAGCACTAGTCAATTTTTACCATGGTGGTGGAATGAGCACTCAATGTTGACAACTTCAAGAGAAAACAGAAACCCAGGTCTCTATGCTCTCACTACTTAGTGTTTTACACATTACATAGTCCAGATAACTTGCTAAATTTGGCCAGCAGGCTGCCTATTTTTGACATCTATTGTAAATACAATTTAAATGTAACATCACTGGGAGTTTTGTTGGCCTATTTAAACAGAAATCTGCTTTACACAAATCTTTGGTGTAACTCATTATATTATATTATGTTAGCTATTTGTTTACATGTGTTTTCAGCAAGTCAATGAGCTTCTTGAAGTTAGAACCCACTATCTCCTCATCTCTACACCAACAATGCCTAGTACAATGATTTTCATTCACTTAACAAATACATGCTGGTCATACAACTGGAAATAGGTTATTTATTGAACTACTAAGTATCCCTCAGAAAAATTACCTTTAGGTATTTTCCAGAATGGTATAGGTACCTGACAGAGTAGTACTAGGGCTGTGTGTCTCAGAACATGTACAATTTAATTACTAGCAACATAACTAAGTATATCAATAAAGTTTGATTTACACTAGAGAAATATTTCCCTTCACCTACTAAATTCTTAGTTATTCTGATCATTAGAGGGGAATATCATGTACATTTATTTGAACTATAATTTACTGAATGTTTAGGTGTTAGTCACAGAGGTGAATGAAAAGATAGAGCCTATCTGGATTACTTACAAAAAAAAAAAAAATAGTAGTACTTACTAAGTTTACTCCAAGGTATTTAAAAAGGTATTTGATTATTTTTGATGCAATTGTAAATGGGATTGTTTTCTTGATTCCCACACCACCCTCCTGTAAGGTTCATTGTTTGCATATAGGAGGGCAACTGATTTTTGTATTTTAGGTTTGTAACCTTCACTTTGCTGAAATGATTTATTGGTACAATTAGTTTTTTAGTGGGGTCTTTAGTTTTTGCTATGTATTACTATGTTGGCTGCAAGTAATGATAGCTTTACTTCTTTGGATTTACTTTGAAAATCTTGAGATAAACTGTAACCCAAATTTGCCCATCTCACTGACTGGAGGATATCCTGAGATCATTTAGAATAGGGGAGCAATGACTAAGAGGGAGAAACTGGGTTAAAATTATGTGGCAAATATATATTCTTATCTGTAGGTAAGGAACTGAAGAGAAGCCAAGTATCTTTATCTTGATCAAATTCCTAAGCATTGCAACAAAACTATCTAGTACAGCTTTAAAATAAATACATTATATCTTATTAATCATGAGTCCCTATATCAGAAATGCATAGTCACTTAGAAATGGCAGAAAAATTAAGTGCCACCTACATGTTTTGTTTTTTTTTTTTAAAAAAAGATTAAAACTATCTACCCTCAATGCTGCGGCCACTGTAATAGCAATATTTTTTATCAAGGACAAAAACTGTAGACAACCGGATTTATTACTATACATAGTTAAGATTTAAGCCATATGTCAACATATAAAACTTGGCTTTTTCTTTGATCAAACATTGCCAAACTTTATCTATCATGCTCCATAAACATTTGACACTTCAAACAGGCTGCTTCTTTTGACTCTCCTACTACAATAGTTGAACAATCTCATTCACCCAGTTAAGCAAGTTAGAGAATGATTCCCTCTCCTCTGTAAAACTTCTAGCTTCAGAGAGAACTCAGGCCTCTAAGTCATCTTCTCTCAGGAGATGCGTTTTGGTCTTATTGTGTGAATCCTTCAGCGTAGACCAACTTCAGGCAACCAACTCCAAATGCCTCTTTGACACGAATTTGAATGTTTCCAGATACCTCAATAGTGTCAACATGCTATACCAAAATACACAACATATTTGTAATTGTAAAGTATACAATCATGTACCCCCCAATCTACATTTCTCTAATTACTATCCACTGAATTTTAGAATAAAAAATTTAGAATTTTGTATTACAATTAAAATTCTGAGCCTTACTACCTAATCAGGCTAAAGATAGTGTCACCTTCCTTTTCCTGTCCACATGAAACCATAGTGACCTCTTTTCCATCTCTGAAACTGAATACTTTCTTACCTTTAGGCTCCTGTGCTTTTCATTCCATTGCCTGGAATAATCCTTTTCCTGCTGTTTACATGTTTGATTCATGTTTAGTCATCTGACCTCGTCTCAAATATCATATCCTCAGAAATTCTTAATTGCTGTCTTTCTCTATTATCACCCTACTTTATCACCTATGCACATCGTTTTTTTTTTTTTGCATTTATTTTATCTAATGTTGCCATACAAGACCCACCACCATATGTCAACCAGAAAATAAGTCCTCTGAGGGTAGGGGCCCAGTTATTCTCTCCAAAGAATTCATTCTTACTTGGTATACTATCCATGTGTATGCCATTTTGTCTGTTTGGTCATTCTACTTTTCTAAAATATAAATTGCATGGCTACTTTGTCTACTGCAGTAAAAATGCTGTAGGATTACCTGCTATTAATTAACCATTGAGTGTCAAACCAGTTAGTTGGTAGTCACTAGTCATAGCCGTTTTTGTCTTTGTGTTTCTACTCATGTTACTTCTTTGCTCAGAATGCAGCTATTTCTCTTGGCTAGTTAATGCTTCATTATTTTAAGACTCACATAAGGTAATTAACCCTGAGCAAGTCTTACTTTGCCCCTCCAGTGTTAATACAGCACAGCAATCTTTAAAGCACATGTGTTTTAGAAAGAGCCAGACATTGAAACACTAGTGCTACTGTCCAGAGTCAATTTCTACACATTTCGTTTTTCTCCCCATCTGTCAATAAGTAATATTCATAACTCTAGAGGTGAACATTAAATGAAAACAACAAGACACAGTACCTGGCAAACACTAAGAACTCAATAAAAATATGCTGTTACTTTACACCACATTGGGGACTTATGCTCTCTGTTCACACAACATATCAGTATGTATCTAACACACTGTCACTCTGGGTTGGAATTAACATGTGTTTGTCCACCCTCATCCTGGACAGCGACTTCTTTGAAGCTAAGAACCAGATCTTAAAAATTTTTAATGTCCTAGTATAGTACTTGGCATACAGTGGTAGCGCAATCAATTTTAAAAAGATGACTAAAGAAGAAAGGCAAAGTCTAGAGCTATGTGTTGCCCAATATGGAAGTTAAGATGTTCAAATTCTTTCTTCTCAATTTTCACTGATTTGTCAATTTATTTACACAACAATACAATTCTGGGAGTGTGACTTCGTGCCTCCATTGTCCAGCAAAGCTCTAATGTCAACACCTACCACATTCCCGCTTCACTCCACTCCTACACTCTCTGGTAACCACCATAGTTTTCACGGAGTCTAAGAGTTCTTTTTGTTATCTTATGTTTGTTTAACTATGTTATTTATGTTTTTCAAATTCATATTTTTAGTTGCACTAGTCACACTCTGAGAATCCAAGAATTACACGTGGCTAGTGACTTGCACTGGACAACTTACAGAACGTTTGTATCAGCTCGACCATGCTGAAATGAGACTGAAATGAACCCGATGACACCTCCAATTTAATACCAGCTCAAGGCACAGAGCTAGGATATGGTAACATAAACACACAGAATCCCAAAGAGAAGCTATCTAATAAAAAAAAAGAGAGAGCTGACACATGCATCACAAGCACTATTAGTTCATTTATTATGAACGAGCATAAGGAGGAAACCCCCCCAAATGCCAAGAATTTTACTAAAATATGGTGCCTAGAGCTTCTACTGTTTAAGGGAGTCTTTACATATAGAATATAGAATGTTCCATCACCTCAGGTCTCACAGGATCTTCAATCCCCACAACAGCAATGCACGTAAGGCCGGTGACAATATCATTTTCATTATCCCATTCTGGTTCCGGTTCGCCTGCTGGGAAATCTCTGAATGCAAGACATATGGTTCTCAAGCCCTCTGATGCCATTGGTTCAATCACGGTTTTTACAATATCATCACGGTCCCTTGGTCTGAATACTTTTGCCTCACCATTAGCACTCAAGATTTTGAAACATCTAAAAGGAAATGTGAATCCATATATAAATAATTATCAAAAATAATGATAATTGCCATTGAAATGAACTGGAAGGGCTAGAAATCTGATATCTGGAATTTGGATAATTACAAAGTGTACACTTTTAACAGACTCCTTTTTTACCCTCCTCTTTATAAAAGTTCTTAATCCTTGTGGTTATTATTTAATAGGTCTCCATTTTATCAATACTCTACAGACTCTCTGAACTTTCTCTTTTAGAAAGGTAGTGCTTCTAAATTTTCACTAAAAAACCTCTAAGTGGCAGAGCAGAACAACTATATACTTTTCCCTTCTGGTGCAGAATTAAACATTAATTTTAATCAGCATAAAATACAAATATTTTCCTCTTTTAAAGTAAAAAGCCAAGTTCAATCACCCTCTTACCTCAGATGCTGTTTCATCAACTGTACTGTTTTAACCATGAAAGAAAAAAAATAACTTATTGTTAAAATAAGTCTTTTATTAAAATGAGAGACGAAGCCCAGTTTTAATTTCAATCAAGTTAACACAATCTTTTCAATTATGTGGTAAATAAAAGTCACAAGTCACACTATCTCCTCTATTTCTTTTTTTTTTTGAGGTTTTATTTCGCTTGCTTTATTTCTTTTTTTTTATAACAGTTTATTTTTACATCATTTTGTACATTTTTTTTTTCCATCTCAATTGTAGTCCCTGCGGGTTGTCTCCTCTATTTCTTAAAGTTTATTTTTGACGTAGCCTATCTATGTCCTTCTACTCTGGTGATGCCACCATGTCCACTTTCTAGACTGGAGGTGATTACCAGTTCCATATGACCAATTTTGTTGGTTTTATAAGCTGCCTTTCCATTACTGTTAAGAGTTCCATTCAGATAAACATACTGCATGCAAGTCTAAAACCTATCTCAGTGTCCACCTAATGGATATAACCTTGGCCCCAATAATTTCAATGTAAGTCTAAAGTCTCACTTAAATGCTTTTTCTCACTATCTATATAAGAATAACTCCTAAGTCCATACATCTGCCTTCTGGATAGTCTTCTGAATGTTCCCCCTCCCCCTTCCATTCCCCTGGCCACTGCCTTCTTTTGGCCCGCTACTTTGAGCTAAAGCTAACGTAACGGTTTTTTCTTTTTTTTCAAGAGATTTATTTAATTATGTATACAGAACTGGGGTATAGGCCAGAGGTACAGGGGTGGTGAGAGGATTCACCAGAGACAGAGTGGGGAGCAGAACAGGCCGACTGAGGAAGTACACTGCTGAGGGGAGCAGTGGGCAAGTCAGGAGAGGTCTGCTGCTCCATGTGGGTCCCCCCAGGGGAGGGGATCGCACTCATGCTGAAGTGGCTTTAGCTTCTTAGTACTGTACTTTAACCCACTGCGCCACCAGGGAGGGCCTGAAACAGCCTTTTAATGATTTTTTTTTAACTCTAGTCTTTTGTCCCCCAAACCTGCCTCATTCTCTGATGCAAGAATTGTCGTTAATCACAGCTTTGACTATTTTACTACCTGATGAAAAAAAATTCAATGCATTATAATATCTACAAGCTTTAACTGTTAGGCCTAACATTTAAACTTCAACAACAAAGTATAAGATAGCACAAGCTTCTGTATACTTACTCTGTATTTCAGACTACTGACAGATGTTTTATATGCATTACTTTATCAGTTGGGCAAAGCAAGGGAAGAAGTCTGCCCAATATCCCAAAGCAAGTTAGCTTCAAAAGTGTCAAAGTCGTGACTGGTTTGACTCAAAAGATTTCCCCTCTACCATCTGTTAAATAGATTTCTAACCTTTCACAGGGAAATTGGATTTCTAAGGGTATTTTGAGGGAAATGCGATATGCCCTAGATGCCACAAAACCCCATCACAACTTAGTTGAACTATATGACTAGTTCTTCCTATCTCTTTTCCTCTGATGTGGCTGCCTTCACTCTGATGTTCTTACTTCATACCAAAACCTATCTAAAATGTAACATCCTTCATAGCACAACCTCTCACCACAAACTTTGCATCCACTTTTCAAAAGCTGCCTTTCATTTACTTATATCCTTGTCTCTTAAATCAGACTACACTGTCAAGTGTTTACTAAAATAACACTGGGTTATAATCCACATATGTACAAACTAAAGATAGAAATATTTTAAGTGTCATAATTTCAAATAAGTTCTAATTTTCTATAACTGCTCTTAAATATTTTTAAAAATTCTTTACTTCTTCACAGGAATTACAGAAACCCAAGTTAATTTCAACATCTATAATAGTCAATAAATATTAGAAAATTATACATAATTATGAAATCTCAAATTGAAGCTATTTGTCTGTATAAAAAAAAATTCAAAATGACAAGAGACATTTAACTACAACACCACAGAAGCAAAAATATGATACAACTTCCCCCGATATAAAAGGAGAATTGTGAAGATCACTATAGCTTAATGTTTTGCTATTTGAACAGAAAGCTTTTTTAATTCACCACACTTTTTTGAGTCTACAACCTACAATGTAGTTTACAAACAGAAATGAGTTTTCCTTCTGAGGAAGCTTTTATTTTTCATAAGCCATATAACAAGGGAATCAACATGTTTAGATAAATATCTAGGTTTATTTTATTAAACTTTCCAGGTTGAATGTGTGTTTTTTTTTTTTTTCTTATAGCATGAAAAATAGAAGGCAGAACATGAAAATGGAGAAACACCATGGGCAAATGCCTAAGTATCATTAAAATGTAGTGAAAATCTTGAGATTCTATCAAATGCCTGATGGTCAGCAAAAAAAAAAAAAAAAA